TATTAAAGAAAGTAACTAATAACAACAAAAAACAGAATGTCCTTAGCAACTGGAGGAATGTAGAGAACGCTATTTTCATATTGTTAACTGAAAATAACGTCAGTTATTGTCACGTGTGGAGAATTTTGTCATTACAGCTGTGTTGACTGATTCAACCATTTTCTTTTGATTTTACGATATTGTTGTGTACATTTGTTTGGGAGAGCAGTAATTTTCTTAACAAAGGGGAAATAGGGAAAAAGCCTGGGTGTAGATTAATATTTGGGTAATATTCTATGGCGGTACTCTCTAGAATTTTCTTCTGCGTGAGTTATTTTCTTTTAATGAGTGTAGCATTTTTAAAATCAAAATTATGGTTGAATTTATTTCTATGTATGACTAGTGCATTAGCTAAGTTGTTTTTGTGAGGTCTCTTTTGTGTTCATAAATGCGTTTTTTTAATTTCTGCTTGTTTCTCCAATATATTTTGATTTTAAAAAGGCTACATTCTATGCCTAGGCTTTTTCCCTATTTACCCTTTCTTAACAACATTACTGTTCTCCCAAACAAACGGACACAACAATATCGTAAAATCAAAAGAAAATGGTTGAATCAGTCAACACATTTATAATGACAATATTCACCACACGTGACAATAACTGACATTATTTTCAGTTAACAATATGGAAATAGTGTTCTCTACATTCCTCCAGTTGTTAAGAACATTCTGTTTTTTGTTATTATCAGTTACTTTCTTTAATTAAATTCATTTCGTTTTTTGCTTTGAGAAAGTCCACATTGGACGAAACGCGTCAGCAGTAACTACAGTTTTCCTATTGTCATTTATATTTATAAATATTGTCTTTTCTACAGGTTAACTCTGAGAAATTTTCATATATATATATATATATATATATATATATATATATATATATATATATATATATATATATATATATATATATATATATATATATATATATATATATATATATATATATATATATAGCAGAAGATAATAAATATAACAGAAGTTGGAAACGATGACAAAAGATAGTAAAGAAAGATGGCAAAAAGAGATTAAAGCTGACAAAGAATAATAATTAAGGCAGAAGATAAAAACGAAGGAATAAGATAGGAAATAAGATATTAAAGATGGCTGAAGACGTATTAAAATAGTATCAAAGATGGCTCAGATGTAATAAAATAATACAGAAGACGGTAGAATATAATAAATATAGCAGAAGATAGAAAAGATGGCAGAAGATAGAAAAAAAAAGAATATGGCATAAAATACCAAAGATGTCATAAGACAGTAAAAGGGTCACTATTTTGTCTAATAAAGTTATAGTAATTTTAATCTATTGTTTTATATTTTTACTGAATAAATCGTACGAACTGTTTGCTAAGCCAAATCCTCCGCAGTTATTTTTCTCATTACTTTTCGCATATTCCTTTCCCACTCAGTGATTATACACTCCGCTAAACGTGCCTGTAATGACGTAAGATCAGCAATGAAATCATTATGATAATACTAATCCGGATTTCCAATTTCATCCGGGAAATAATGTCTGAGTTTGCTAGCGCTCGATATTTCGTCGTGGCGTATCGTAAGGTTTCGTAGAGGTGTTGAGAAATGGCCTCCCTAGAACACAGAAAGCTCCACCCGGATGTTGACCTGTCCAGTCAGACAAGCAATGTCTCTCGGGAAATGCATAATGTAAGGATTCCATAAACTAATGGGCTTTTAGGCTTTCAAAGATCGTATGTTAAGGGCTAAACGTCAACTTTTACTCCCGGATTTAATGTTTTCGATTACACATTTATTCATAACTGATCGAGAAGGCATGTGATTGTGATGTGTACCGCATGCTGAGGGCTTTAGTTACACGACATCATGCCAAAATCGCTTCGATTCAGAATCAATTATGCATCTTTTATCTTGTTTATGTTTTTATAAGGTTACTATATGCGGTTTTATTTCAACTTCACATTATTTCGATAATTATATTACCTGTATTGGATAGAGATATCCCTAGAATTCATCCATTTCTTCATCTACTTTTATTATTTTTTTGGGGGGGATGCTACAATTTAACATAATTTTTCATATAATTTATAACTTAATATAAGTTATTTCTGTTCCTATTTTAACCTAATTTCAGACTTCCCTATTTAAGTCATTCAGTGTTTCTTGCTCCTCGTCCAATGTTTCTCCTATTAATAAAATGGTGTCACTGAAAACAAGAAGGTTTAAATATTATCTTTGTATGCTTGCTCCCTTATGTTTCCAGTTCATTGTCCGCAAAGACCTTTATATATATATATATATATATATATATATATATATATATATATATATATATATATATATATATATATAAGAGTGGACATTGAGATCAATATACGTTCATCAATTCGATATTTGTGATTCTTACCGTTTATCACCGTGAATCTGCTAATGCCTGCCATCAGTTTAGCAAAAAACAGTCCTAATAGCGATGACGAAATTAAAATCATAAAGCAAGAACAAAAATCTATATTATTCCATAATGGTTATTTGTGGACCAAAAGAAATAAAACAGAATTTAACAATGCTATCGGAGCGTTTGATTCTGCAAAGGTATGCGAAAGTTTTGGAATTTTGTTATAGTGGTCACTAAGATTTATTTTCGACATTAAGGACACCGTTAGAAAGATGACGGTATGATTCTCCTCCGTAAAAAGGTCCAAAATTTATAGAACGATTGAGAAATGAACTGATAAAAATTTTCAAAGATCACGAACAACAAACATCAATGCTAATGAGATTAGCTTTCTCCATCTGACGTTGGATTTGAATACTGGTTATTATAAATAATGTACTAAAGATCAATATAACCGTAGATATGTTAATAAAGAGTCCAACTATCTATTCAATATTTTAAATAATTTACATAAATCAGTCCAAGTTAGACTATCTACTAACTCCAGCAACAAGGGAATATTTGAGAATAATAATAATATTAAATATATAAAATGTTTAGAACTAACCAACAATAAAGTAAATTTAGAACATTTAGAAAAAACATAAGAATAAAAAGAGACACCGTACTATAGTTTAACCAACCTTTTAATCATAACGTTCAAGCGAACATTGGAAGAATTTTCATAAATTTAATTCATAAACACTTTAATCATTCAGCAATATGAAAGATTTTTAACAAAATTAATGCAAAGATCAGCTCTAACTGCGTTAAAAGCATCGATAAATCAATATACCAACATAACAATATTATACTAAATAAATATGTCCAACAAATACAACAACGTTAAATTTTAAATGCAACTGCCGAAAAAATACGATCTCTCCCTTAAACTGCCAATATATGACAAATCATGGTCTATACCAAGTTAGCATACATCCGGTAACGATGTCAGATTTTATTTTGGTTCTACAGAAAATCATTGGAAATTTCGTTTCTATCATCATCAAATGAATGTAAAATACATGAACAGCACTACTCTCTTCAAAGATTTCTGACAATTAAAATGATGGTAATACAACCATTATTACGTAGGATATTGTAGCAAAAACTACATCTATTTTAAGATAGGGAAAGGTGATAGGTGTATTTTATACCATCTAGAAAAATTATTTATTTTAACACTCTTAAATAACTATTACGTATTAAACAAGAGAAATGAATTGAGGGTTACATGTAGGCATAAAAATAAATATATGTAGACATACATTGATCTAAATTAATTTTTAATATAAATTATAACGTTTCACTTTATGCTGTTATGGTCTCGAACTCCGTTTATTTTTTTTATAAAAATTCTGTTTTTCAAAAATAAATTATTAAAAAAACAGTAATCTCCCTTTATATTTAATATAAAAATAATAATCACAAATTTTAATATTTTTTATATATTTTTAACGTCTATTATAATATTATTTTTAAATAAATACCGTTAATCCCTATTGATTTTGAATACAAAATAAAATAGTTATCCCCGTTTATTTTATATATACAAAATTAAATTTTAAATGTAATATATATTTTTAAAATAAAAAAAAAACATATAATATATGAACTGCGCCAGCATCGCGTTAACCAGATACTTTTATTAAAACTTAAATTTTGTAACAGTCAGTTTCTAGCCAACATCTTAATGTTGCGTTATGCATGCAACTCTATAGAGATAATAGTATATTTATTGATATATTTATTGATATATATCTAATAGTTCTGTTATATTATATTGAACACTGTTTTATTAACACCAGCATTCTATGTGCGGTATCTTATATTCATTTGTATATATATATATATATATATATATATATATATATTTATAATAAATAAAAGACAGAACACGTTAAGATTCCATGTAATAAGCTATTTCACAATAACCCCTTTAACAGGGTTATGGATCATCAGACTTTACTTCCAAAAGCTGAAATGAAAAATGAAAAGAAATTCACGTTTTTTACGGACCTCATCAAGTATACGCAAAGTTAACGAAGTGAGGAAGTGAGGTGGGAGAGAGGATATGAGTGTGTCATATGTATCATTTTAGTTTCCTATTTTAACCCCAGTGTGTCGGCTGGATGTTGCTCAAATTTAACGCGTCTCGTCTCTAGATAAAGGTGGTTAAGGGGTGAGCGATAAGAACTACATTAAAGGAAGAAGTTACAACAACCCCAATAAATTACACGACAGGTTTCATTCAAATTCTTAGACGCTGTCAGTTCGCGTTACTTTAACGTGCATATTTGGGAGGTTAAGGTTTGATAAATATCTAAATTTTAAAACAATCTACGAAGAAATTAATTTAAAATTCGGTGGAGTTTTGGGTATTTTCTATGAAGCAGTCGATTGGAAAAGTCCATAGACAGAACATTGAAAGAGCAATCCCATTTATATTTAGTACTTTTTTATACTAAAACTTTTATCTTATAGCTTGTTACGTTGACATTTATTCGTTTGATTTTTGTTCAAGTTACATGGAATCTTAACGTGGTCTGTCTTTTA